TCGTTTCAAAAAGATTGGCCTAGCTTGACTTGGAACGGAGTTTAAGAAAAGAAGGAAGACTTTTTAATCTTGTGGTTCTAAATTAAAGTTATGTCAAATGTACCAAAATGTTATTTAATCTTGTGGTCTTAAACATGTCACGTGGAAAGTGAAAATTAAAGTGTTGCAAAAAAAAGAAAAAGGGTCATTCTTTTTTAAACAAACTAAAAGGGAAATAGGGACATTATTTTTTAAACGGAGGAAGTAATTATTTTTCATTATGATGTATGCACAAAATTTACATGATAAAACAATCTACTTTTTATATTATAGTGATAAATTATTAAACTACACTTTTTAAAGGGAAAAGAGTCAAAATTATCCCTCAATTTTGTTTTATTGGTAAATCATACCACCTGCCGTTAAAAACAAGTTATTTTTATCTCTACCGTAAATAAACTTAAAAAATATACCCCTCCTTGGATGTAAAACTCCAAATCAATTAAAAATTACTCAATTTTAACTCCACCCGACTCACTTAAATAATATAACCTATTTCTTTTACTCAAATCAATTTATTTTTCCCACCACCACTATCAAAGTCGCCACCCTTTCCGAATTCTCCTTCACCACTACCTCCGAAACCATCACTCTGCCATTACTCTAACCAAGAACTATTTTCTTGGATGCTGGAAGTTGGTGTTATTATTTTACTAAACAATCTTTAAAAAAAGGTAGGAAACAACATATAATTTAAGAATTTCAATCTATCATCCAGTATATACAAACCCCCAAAATTAATAACAAAATCAAAAGCGCTTAGGGTTAAATAATGAAAAAAATTACCCCCGAATAGTTAGCGATTCATAATCCCAATATTCTCTAGGACAAAGCACATTGATATCAATGTATACTTGAACTTTAGACATGAATTTATCGTAAATCAAAGACTGAAGAGTTGTCACGAGATTGCACAAGACTGCACCCTTCATTCGACCGACATTACGTTCCACCCTTTATTCGTGGTGATTTCGACGGTGATGGTGAAGGAAAGGTCAAGAAAGTGGTGGCTTTGGTGTGGTGGTGGTGATGAGAAATATAAAATTAATTTAGGTAAAGAAATGAATTATATTATTAAGTGAGTCACATCGAATTAAAATCAAATAATTTTAATTGATTTGAGATTGTTTATCCAATGAGGGGTATATTTGTTAAGTTTATTAACGGCAGGGGTAAAAATAACTTGTTTTTAACGGTTAGGATAGAGTTAACCAATAAAACAAAGTTAATGGGTAATTTTGACCTTTTTTTTCTTTTTTAAATAGCATGAAAATAAACGATTCAATAGTTCAAAATGAAATATTAGAAGTAAATTAGTACACGAAATAATTTGATGCAAGACAAAATTGTTGTTTATACAACTTTTAGCTACACATAAAAAATAAGGATGCTCATTTAGAACTCCGTAATACATTAATAGAACATTTATCAGAATAATGTAATAGTCTTGAAAGTCAAGTATTTATGTAATATTTAAAATAAACTTTATGATAATACAATACTTATGATGCAATTATATTTCATTAATGATTTCACTTTTATTTAAATTGTTTGTTAATATGTATGATATATAATATTTATCACAATTATGTTAGTTAGAATAAAATATAATTTTTGTATTAAATGAGGAATTTGAAAAAAAAAATTGTATTGCATAAAGATTGTAGAGTGATTTTTAAAAAGAAGAATGATTTATATTATGATATAAGAAAATAAGAATGAAATAGAAATAATAATATAATATTGAATAGAGAGATTCAAAATCTTTTTTAGAAAGTAAAATAGAGAATTGGATTGGAGTTGATTGTCTGAAAAAATAGAGTGTTCTATATTTATATAGTAAAATCGAGGATAGGTTAGAGATGCCTCAGTCATGACTGACTAGAATATTAAATACTAATTATTATTAAATGGGATGTGTTGAGATATATACTATTAATCATATGTTAAGATATAATATTTATTATAGAATAAATATTTATTCAGTTTTAATAGATAATATATTTGTTTATGGTGTCTATTTACTTACATAGTAGATAATATAGTGTGTAGAGTTTTGCTTTATATAGAGAGGATTAAAACATCGGTTCTTATAAGTAAGAAAAAAATTTATTCACAATCTAGGATAGAAATTGGAAATGTCATTGAGTACGATTGTAGCACAAGATTATATGTAATTATCCCGATTATGGGAACGGTATAGTTTCAACTTCTTGTGCTAGTACATTTTGTATGTACTGAACCGAACCGAATAGAAATAGTTGTTTTAGATTGGCTGACAAAAACATATTCTCTAAACTATTATATATACTTGTATTCTTAATCCTGATACAACTATTATAATCTGTATAGATTACTTATCGTTTTGATATATTAAAAGGTGAGATTCTAAGATGGGTCAATATGCCTGATAAGTTTGATGATAATAATATATATTGGTGAAATAATAAGTTAGTTGATAGAATCCATGCCTCATAGATTGATTGATTGATATGGCTTTATGAGAAGCTTATAAGTTTTCATAGTGTAAAACTTTGCAAGTCGATTTATGAATCTGACACATGAAATAAGTTAAACAGTGCTCTAAAGAAAATTAATCAGTAAATTAAATTCGTCATTAACTTAATTTATTGATTAGTATATGTAATCTTAACATGGAGAATTCGTAAATGTTTGATGAGGAATTAGAAAATATTAATAGAGTAGTGCAATTACAAATTTCTAATGGGATGATTTATATTTTATTATGGTAAGACTAATTCAAATTAATTATTTGGAATTATTTCAATAATAGGAAGACTCAGTAATTAATTATGCGTACTCTATAGTGTCCACATTTAACTAGAACTTAGAATCTTATTTCTAAAGGGAAAATAGGAGATCGGCGTGAGCTTTTTTATATAAAAAAAGTAGCATTTATTTTATACAATTAAATTAATTTGAAATGGATGGAATATTTATTAGTTGATCTTACTCTTATTCTCTAATATCAAGTTATTCATATCCCTGCCCTTTATAAATTTTTTCATTTGTACACGTCAATAGGATGAAAAGTCTGAAATCAACTATTATTATCCTATTTGAACTGGAATTACCTGATTCCCTCTTTTTATCCAGACCAACCGCTAAACCAAATTGTCAATTTTCTTTATTGAACAAATTGTTTTTTCACATGCACTTGAACTGTGTTGGCACCAACCAAGTCAAAAAATGATTTCAAAAATATAAACATTAAAAGAATAAAAAATAAAGATATTTTGAATAAAGAATATCGAACCCAATAAGGGTTGCCTACGTATCTCGTTGTGAGAATCAGGTTTGCGTAGTTCTTCAGATACGATAAAAATCTATATTTGAATAAATACATTTTTGGAAGGAAAAATAAAGGAAATGAAAAATCAATGGGCTAAATTGAAAGGCGGGGAACCAAAATTTAATAAAAAATATTTTTAATTATTTTAAGAAAACTTAGCAAGAATGAAGAAATTAGTGAATCACATTGAAGGGCGGACCACCCAAATTTAACAAAAGTAACAAAAATAGAATAAGAATTTAATGAGTTACGTTGAAGGGCAGAGTACCCAAACTTAACAAAAAACAATTTTTTTTATTAATTAAAGAAAAATAGCAAAATTTAAAAAATATGAATGAGTCACATTGGAGTGGGAACAACCCAACTTTAAAAAGTCAATAAAAAATAGTTTTAATGGAATGTAAGATAAATAAAAATCAAAGATATACAATGAATATGAAATTATGTACAAAAAATTATTGTAAAATATACAAACCAACTCAGAGTGAAGCATCATAAATTCTAGAGTCTGTATACAACCTTGGTGAAATTTTTTAGGGTATTGCTAAAAATTTTGCCCCTGTCAGCTTCAACAACCTAAGGTATTTTAATCTTGTAACAACTATTTCCTTTTTAAAATTTTTGGAGATCTCCTCAAAAAATTTTGCCAGTTTTCGCTTTAAAATTTTGGAAAGCTTACGGAAAACATGACCGAGCTCAGGTCAAATGTAGTTCCAACAAATTATAACTTGAATAAAAACTTGACTTAAATTATGAATATTCTAAAAACTAGGTTAGCAAGAGTTATTTTAAAATAATGGATTATTATACAACACATTCACGTATAACAGATATATCACATAATATACAAACAATGAGTGCATGTGTTATACAAATGTGTTTTGAATGTACGAGATTTTGGCTTCGCTCTACAATAACTGACTAAAAGTGAGCTTAAAAAGAGACTTGCTTACCCGAGTTGGACAAACTATGGGATGAAGTATAATAAACAACGTTGGATGACCGCATGCCAACTACTTGCTTATTACTTCAAAAGAATTTCAAAGGTGTTTTCTGAAGGGCGATCGTGGAAAGCCACGTAACCGCCTTTGTTCTAATGCATTCTATTTGCCATTTGGCGAAAATTATATTATGAAATGCAATGACAATATACAATAAATAATGAATAGAATGAGTACGATACGCAAATAATCAACAAAATATAAAAGATATAATGCATAACACAATAAAGAATAGTATCCTCAATTTGAGAAAATGAACCCAGAATGGTTAGAACCTCTAAATTTCCCAGCGGAGTCGCCATTCTGTTGACATCCTTTGAATTGGAGCAACGTCGTGGGGACTCAATTAAAAAAGTTTTTAGTTAAAAGAATTTGAAACGGGTAAAAGCGGGTTTAGGGATTAAAGGGAAAAGGGATCGTCACCTAATTTTTTAGGAAAACTAGGAAACCAATTAATAAATTAATTTAAAAGATGGTCTACGAAACAAATTTGATTCTTGGTAAGGGGTTCAAATTATTTCAAAGGAAAGGGGTTAGGCACCCTTCAAAATCCACCACTAATTCTCGATTGAGTTCATTTTTTCAACTTGAGGAGGAAAATAAAATAATGCACAAATATAATAAACAAGCAATATACACAATAAAAATAAAATAATAATACCGGTCTAAAATTTGACTAACATCGATATATATACAAAATAATGAATTAAAAATATAATTCGAACTCCTTTGAATAACTTCAAGGAAGCAAGTCTTGAGTACCTGTAAACACACATAGTAAAAATGTTGGAAATAAATAAATATGAATAAAATTGAATATATGATATAATAACTTAAAAATAAAAAATTCGTCTTATGAATATGGGAGGCCTTGAAAATCGACGATAATTTCTTCATCGTCCAATTCTAACAACTAAAATATATAAATTTAAATTAAATTTCCGTCTTTTAAAATGGAAAGACCTCCAAAACCGACAAAATTTTTTTTCATTGGCCAATTGAACAAACATAAAACTTAATAAACTTTGAATAGCTAATATCAGTCCAACCTAAACGGACAACATAATATTATAAACAATAAGAGTATTAATAATAATAATAACAAACAGAATAATAACTATAACTCTATTAAATAACATTGAACTTATAATAATAATAATAAAGATAACATCGGCAACAACAAACAATACATAGAACAAAAGTCATTAATGGGCATAAAATTAGAATACACCAATTAAACAATGAAAAATAATAAATAATGAAACAAGAATCTCACAAAGAATAAACAATGAAAGTAAACAAAAATTGACAAGATAAAGGAACAAAAGTGAATAAACAAATATAAGAGAATTATAAAACCAAACACAACATAACAGATAAACTATATTAACAAAATGTTAAACAAATATGACCAAAATAAAATAACTATCGGAGTTTACCGGAAAAATAGAAAATTCAGGCAGATTTAGAAATTTTAGTTGTTCTTGTTTGTTCATTCTCGCTGGAGTTTAGAGATTCACTGAATACCTGCAAATAGAGGAGAATCGTAAGAGGGAAAGGGGGAGGGGAACTGTACATTGGGTGCTCTTTGCCGGAGCTTGGTGGTTCGAGCTTGTGGTGGTGTCTGGTGGTCACTGGTGGTGAAAATAGGTGTGTTTCCGGTGGTTTCTTAGCTGAAAATTGTAACGGAAAAAGGAAGGGAGTTTTGGAACTGGTTTGGAGAGGGTTTCGGTGGTCTTGTAACTCCGATGGTGGTGAAGTTGTTGGCTGCTCGAAACGGTGATGAAGGAAGAAGAAGTTGGGCAGCCGCAGCATACTGGTTGTTAGCTTGGATGGAAAAATATTAAAAAAAATGAAAGGGGCTTTAGGATGGTGACTGGCCGAAAAGTTGCCGAAAAAGCGATGAACAGTAGAATTTTTTTAAAAGTAAAAACATAATTCTGAAAATTGAACCCCAATTCTAAAATTTATTCACCACCACAAAATCTAATGGACAAACTATTACATATATTGGGAGTTGAAAACTATGGGCCTAAGTTATGGGCTTGAGATCATAACTCAAAAATTGTCAATTGATAAAATATCTATGTATATAAATTGTATCTAATCTGCATGAATATTTAGACTGCACAGAATATCAAAATGAATATTAACAATGAAACAGAGAAAAATGAATATAAAAAATGTAATAAACGTAATCAAAAGCGATTTAGCATAAATAATAATTTTATGAAAAATGAACAATAGTTGAACATCTGGTTGTGACAAAATAATATAAACATAATAATCGATGAAAATTCTAATACTTTGAGAAAGAGGGTGATTATCAACAAATTTCATTAAAATGACAAAAACATGTAATTTGAACTATTTAAAATAAAATACTCAATATTTATTAATTTTAAAACTATCAGATCGAAATTTGGTGTCAACAGACATCATCAATATTTCATAATTATAAATAATATCGTGTGCATGTGAACATATGCATATACCTTGAAAATACATTATTAAATAGTGTAGGAGTATAAAAGTTTAATTACCCGAGAGTATATCCTAGAAGTTATGGCATCCTCAAATCTCCACACAGCGTTGTCGACCTCTCGGGGTCTAAGGCAAGCCTCTTAGCATTCTTTCATTTCATAGACATATAAATTTAGCGAAAAATTTAAAACTTTTCATAGCATATCATATGCTAGAGCAACACTTCACATGTATATAAAAATACTTCATAATACATAATTAGGCTTTAAGTCATTTTGCCATCTTAGACTCAACATTATTAGTGTAGATTAAGGACACTGGTCGTAACAACATAAAGTATAAGTCTAAGCTACTACATCAACTTAAAGAAATATCTTGACATAGGAAACACTTGAATCATAAGGGTTCATTTACTTGAACTTGGGAGATCCATCCAAGCCCTTCACTTAGGACACATCCTCTAGCCATCAACACCACACTCTGTGTAAAAAGGTGAAGAAGAATGGTAGTAGTACAAGAATGCACTAAGTATGGAAACTATGCAAAAACATGCATTTAAAGAGTACATTTCATTTGAAATCATGCAACATGTATTTTTAGTAAATTTTATGATCATTGACACATTTAAGCACAATATAATTCACATACATCATATAGACATGAATACTACTCATAATAGCACATAAAGCCATTTATCACACTTTGAGACATATTCAATACATACATTACATTACCTCTCTTTTAATCTTACTTCTTTCCTTTAAGTAATCTTTCAAGTGTATTTAGTACAATGTATCACCTTGAGGTTACCTTACAATAGCATTTCATAGATTTGCTTCATAAACATAACCACATATATTCAAAAGTCTTAAACACATCATAGACATCAAATTCACATAAGGACCATCACCTAAGACAACCCCCAAGTCACACTAATGAAATGTATAAAAAGTATTCCATAATACTACTTCCACCAAGTGTACCTAAGAAGTCACCCTTGACTAGACATAACATACTCAACAATTCATAACACCTTCATTTATAACTAGACATAAGACACATACTTCATAGCCTCATATAAGGACTCTTTCATTTACTACAACCTTAGTCATAACTCATTCAATTCATATCATATGTAAACTACCCTCACAACTCCTTCACAAGCTTACTTGTGCAATGTATACATGGAGTCCCATACCCACACATATACTAAGTAAATCCATTTACAAGCCATAGAGCAATTCACATACATAAGCATAATTCATGTCTTAACATAAAAAAATCACTTAATCATGCATCCATACAATTTGTACATACATATCAGAAGTCTTACTTCCATAAAAATACTAATCTTATCCTTTCTTGGAGTTCACAAGTGCAATGCATGGGTAGGGTCCACAGTCCTACCTATACTAAGTAAACTCCTCAAGGAGTTGTGATTAGAGTCCATAATCTTATCCTAATTCATTTATTACTTTGGGAGACATAGACATTCCAGACATAGACCATCTACTTCCACACCGAAAAGAGAGGGTACTACTTGCTAAGGTAGGACTTCCATATAAAATAGCTATTCTAGTGTATCCACTAAGATAAAACCTAAGGGTGCACGTAGTTAGGGAACAAGGAGATTGCTTCTAGAAAACCTTGACTTTCTAATGTGGAGGTTTCCATCTCATGACACAACATCTAGGTTGGGATCCCTAACTTGCTAAACGTGAAGGTTTTCTTATGGGAAGCTGGACTTACTAACGTGAAGCTCCCACTTTCTTTTGTCATGTTCACTCGATGCTAGGCTCTAACTCCATTTTTAATAAATATTTAAGCCTTTAATACTCTAATTCATAAGGAAGGCTTTTGGATCTTGCTCCTTCATACTTCATATAGCTCAAAGGATTCTAAATGAGAATGTCCTCTCATCCTAAAACCTACATTATATGAGAATGTCCTTTTACATTATCATATCACATTCATACCATAGTCTAGTTTAGAGTACAATTGAGTAATACCTTTCAAGAGACTCACTTATTCATTAGAGTACCATTTACATACTTCATTCATACATACATATGTGTGTACAAATATGTAAGATGTACCTTCACATAAATAACTTTAGGCACACATGTTCAACTTCATTAAACATATCATTTACCTTCATAGAAATAGGTAATGATGCATAGGAGAACTATTCTTTCCTTAGTCATCATGAATCTATCCTACTCATAGATATGCATGAAGTGTGTGCGTACATTTGTCAACATGATCGCATAATGACTATCACATAGCATTGAGGAAGCCACCCTCTAAAGATCACAACATATGCACAACATTCCTCAAATATCAAGTCATACACACATATATAGTATTAAGGACTATAGACTACACACACTCACATTACATCATAGGAGACAAGAACATATTCAATCATCAGAATAGAAGACTCCTAGAATACTTTGATCACACATTCATATAGGGTTCATAGAGGTCGGGGTCATGCTATAAGAGTACTTATAAATATTATCCATCTTAGACCACACCTAACCCTAACATGATCATCACATATGCATAACATCATCCACACACCTAAATCATGCAACTAACGTAGAAGGCTATTCATATACTTCCATAACATTAATTCACATGATATTAGAATCAAGACTCAATCCTTCAACTTCCTAAACATGGAATCATTATATCAATTCATATTGCATATAATTCCTTCAAGTCCATGATCATAATACATAAACATGTACAAGGATGTAAAAACCACCACCATAAGAGGACCATACCAATCATCATGATTCAATATACATTTTGTGCTAAATAGACAAAAATAGGTCAACTTATAAAATCTCCAAGCTAATGATCATCTTGATCAATTTCCAACAATTCATAATCAATTGGCATAAAGGAATATAGAGCTAAGCAATTCATTACAATCTAAAATAATTTAGTCATCATATCATCAAGATGACAAGACCCACATGATAGGCCAATTTGAGAAATTAGGGGGATCGTGGATTCTTCATGAAATTGGATTGAAATTAATTATTAAAACAATAATGAAACATAATCCATCATTAGAATGACTTTAAAATCATTTTGACAATGAACCCATGACTAGATTGAAAATTGGGAATTTGGATCTTTCAATCACTTTTGAAAATCATTTATTGAACTCCTTAGATGAAAGATTAAATTAGGATCAATTTTTACGATACCTTATTTATGGAATACACATGAATAATTGGAGAAGAAACCATAGAAATCCATCCCCTAGCTTGATCTTGAGTTTTGGTCTCCAATGGAGGTTTTGGGAGAATTTAAAGAGAACAGAGTTTTGGGGTTTCGATTTTCTTATTGGATTTTGGGGTTTTGACTTGGGAAAGAGGTTAAATAGGTCTTAAAACAATTTATAACCTTCACTCAAAGTTACCAAAACACCCTCATACTTTGAACATTTAGGCATGTCAAACTTAACTTTCATTTTCGGAATCTTCGTTGGGGAACAAGTCCACATCGTGGAGCTGTTCCCGCAGGATTTAGAAATAGGTTTTTGGAAAGTTGAGTTTTCTTTGTATTCACGAAGTGGATGAAAATTTTGGCCTATGGAGGACCTAGTCCGTGACACCTACCTATTTCATCTAGGACCAAAAGTTGCTTCCTTGGGCAAGCTTGTTGGCCCAAGGTTAGGTCCTCCTCAAGGACCCTTTGGTTGGTACTTGGGGAGTTTTTCCCTGACATTTATACCTAAAATACTCTAGTATACATGTTAGGAAACTCTCACATCAATCTGAACTCCAAACAACAAAACAAGACAAAACACACTAAGATACACAAGCACGTTTCAAGGCAAAACTTTCAAACGTCTTGGATGTTGACCTCCAAACCACTTCAAATTTAGTATACATGCTAAAAATACTTTATTAAAATGTTATTAACCTTTTTAGATATATGTGAGTCTCTAGCTACCTCATTTTGAGGGTTTTTTTTACAAAAAAAGATCCTCTATAAAATTTGACATCATAACAACAATTTGGGTAAAAGTTGGAGTGTTTTTCAAGACCTTTTTCCTTATTCAAATTAGAATAAGTTATAACTGTAAGTTGTGGGTCGTGCGTCACCCATGTGGACCGACCCAACCCAATCTATTATTCCCTATCTAGTTGATTAAATTAATTAATTAATAGATAATTCCTTTTATAAGGATAAGTCATGACAATTACTTTGTAACTGTTCAACCTCTCCCTAAAAGGCTCCTAACTGGAGTAACTTTCAAGGAACGTGAAATGTAGAAAAATGGAGAGGAAACGTGTGAAATTGAAAACCAAAAACAAACGATCAGATAAGAAACAAAGAAATGAGTTTCTTAGAAGATTCAATCAACACTCAAATAAGAATTTTTATTTGTTAACAAAGAAGAATCTTTGTTTCCTTGAGAAAAGTGATAAAGAGCAATTTCTTTCATCAACAAAATCAAGAACACTAA